ACTTCTCATTCCATTCAAGAGTGCTCAATACATTATACATGGCCTCTATTTATAGGCACAGATTTACACCTTTGATAGAATCTACAGATTACATAATAATATGAGATAATTGTGGGATATAGAAATAATAGGAGATATAGGAGATAATGGGGGATATATGGACATCCACAAAGATATTATTATATTCATAACACTCTCCCTTGGATGTCCAATATATATGAAGGTGCCTCGTTAAAAAACTTCAACTAGACAAAACCCTGTGGGACAAAAACCTAGCGAAAGAAAAAGAGTACATCATTTATTGATACACTATGCAATGTTGCCTCATTAAAAGTCTTGCTAGGAAAACCCAGTAGGACAAAACCATAGATAAGGAAAAAAGAGTACATCAAGTATCAACTCCCCCTTTTGGCAACATCAGTTGACATCTTCGAGCCTGCAAAGTCTAATATAATGAACAACCCTTCCAAATATTGTAATGAGATAAAAACATCAAATATGAATTTCATGATCTTCTGAAAATCATGAGACGAATATTCCTTCTATGGTTTATCCACACATGGATCATACTATGATCTCTTGACATGATGATCAAACAAGAATACTTTATCTATATAGCCATTAAGATTAGTCTTGGATACTTTCAGATAAAATAATTTTACCTCCACGGTATCTTTAAAGTAATGAAGAATATTTTTAAATTCATTCCAACATCTTCATGTTGATAAAGAACTATATCATGCTAATCAGCAAATGATAGCTCAAATTCTATATAGCTAGATAGATATATAAATGCTTCAGTGACACTAAGATGTGGTACTTCTGGACCAAATGTTTATTCATTACCTTCTGGAGGTCTAAATCGATCTTTAGTTCATATCTAAAGATCTTACAACTACCAAAACATATAATGGATGTTGCTTATCCACATAATGGATGTGACTTATCCATATGTATTCTTCCGAAAGCTTTCATTTCAAACTTTTTCTTTAAGTAATTCGCAACTTTTGAAAACTCATCAAGAGTTTTGATACTATCATCATAAATAATACTGATGACAAACTCATTTTGAATCTTTTCACAAACAGACAAGTTGGAATATATTTACATCATTCCTTCAATTAATATTAACCACATATATCTCATATAGAAACTTACTTGAATAGTGTTCTTGAGAATATAATTGTATGCTTCTAGAAACTTAAATCCTTTAAGGATTTTCATACATTATGATCCATATCTATTCATATATTGGATTGTTTGAATTTATACAAGGATTTGAATCCTTCAGGGATTCATATAAAATTTCACTATAAAGTGAGTCATACGTTATAGTTATATATTTCTAAGATGCACATGAAAAAATTTCATTTATTACCAGACTGCCAAATTGATAAGACATGTAATTTCATCCACCACAAGACTTTATTTCTCTTTATATTGTACAAATGCCTATTTACATAATACTAGCATTACACTTCAAGTGCATAGGCCAGGGATACACAAATCCCTATTACATTGCGTCTTTTCTTTTCTGTTGGCCAACCATTTTTCTGTCTGTATCTCATGATAGATTATATATAAGATCCTCATTTGATCACATGATATCATCAATAAAATTATTGTCGACAATTTTATTCCTTTATCAGTCCCCTTTTCTTTTATGACATAACATATCGAGATCTCTTTATTGCTTTCAGACGATTAAACCTCTTCAAGGGTCAAACAATTGTGTCTTAATCTCTTTTGCAATTCATGCCTCCTTAGTATGATCATCATGATCATTTGCTCATTTTTTTTCCTTTTGGAACCGATCATAATCTCATGCTTTTAGCATGTTTTCAAGAATAGGAGCACTTTTAGCTGGAATATAAGAATTAAGAATTCTCATTTTGATCAGTAATTACATCTGGCAGATATTAATAATATTTTATGAATGCAATACTTTATGAACTTCTAGTTTATACTACTATATTTGAGGATCTACATTTGATAGTAAAAATGTATTCTATGTATTCTCTTTTCTAGCTACACATTTTCTCCCCGTCATATTGGGAACATATAATGTAGATCTCCTAAATCCATAAATCTCCTTTAGAAACATTATTTTGTTTCATTTAGAGACAAACAAGAATAAGGAGATTTTATCCAACAGTGATCCCAACTTACTTTTAATATCCATCTATGTGCGTTATTGCGATGGAATAATAGATATCACATATTTTAAGATGAAAAATGTCTGACTCCTAACCAAAAGCCAGTTATAATGGGAGAATTCACAATACACTGTTGGCTTAATACATTTATGTGGAAATACTATTTAAAATAAAATAATTAATAATATGTATTTCAGAGTAAACTTGATCGAATTCTTTCTATCGATCCACAACTCCAAGAATCTGTCTTTAGGTACTAATACTATTTATTCATCACGAGGGATTTTTCTAATTTTTCTTAAGTCAAAATTCAACCTTTAGATATTTGACCATGCCTTTCCTTGGATAGTACATAAATAGGCTCTAAATTCTATTAAAGCTAGCTTCTTTGCCTTCTGAGGACGAAATTGTTTTCAAAACCTATGATAATTCCTCAAGTATTTTTTTCCCTTTTTCTTCCAATTGTTTCAAGCCTCCCTGTACTTTAAATAATTTATTTTCAATAATATTCAAAATTAGTCAAACCCTAGGAATTCCACAAATTCCTTCCAAGGGCATTTTTGTCAGTTTTGGCCTCATATAGGGCTCTGAACCTTATTCCTATTTTTCTGGAATTTTTCTAAGGCATTCAGGCGTTAACCTACCATTTCTCATTTTCTGGGATTTTTTTGAGATTTTTTGGACATAATTTTCATTTTTGCCCTTGTTAGCCCAAAACTTCGCAAAATTATGATTTTGCCTGTGGTTTGGCTTAACTCAAAATTTACCTCATTGAGGCCTCCAACATAACCTTTAACCTATATTTATCTCTATTTCTCATTTTTGGGCCCTGAGACTTTATCCGAGTCTCTAACTTCCCCTTTTCTTAGTCCCAAAAAAATTTTCCTTTGCGATTTAGTCATTAAGAATCCCTCTGTCCTTCTAGGAAACCTTAGAAACTCCTACCATAAGGGGTCTGGTAGCCTGCCTATTTCAGGCTAATTCTGATCCTTCTAAGCCCAAAATTGGGATGTGACATGTGAGATCTTGCTACCAAAGAAAAAACAAAGAAACATGACTTCGAGTATTTTGGAATCCCCAACTTAGGAGAGTAAGCCTTAGTCGATCGAACCATACACGAGGAGGTTGCTTTAACCCATAGATAGCTTTCATCAATTTGCATATGTGATTCAGTCACTTAGGATCCTGAAAGCCTTTTGGTCGGTGCATATACACTTCTTCTTTGAGGTAACTATTTAGAAAGGCATTGTTGACATTAAGTTCTCGTATTTCCCAGTTGAAGGTGATGGCAATTGTAAGGACAACTCTAATGGTTATTGGTTTAATAATAGGACTCAAAGTCTTACCATAGTCAATACTAGGTGCTCTTTAAAATCCTTTGGTGACCAGATGAGCCTTGGGTTTAAAAATGGACCCGTCGGCATTAAATCTAGTCTTTAAAATCCACTAGTAATCAATAAGTTTTCTATCTTGCGCTCAGAACAAGAACCAATGTTTGATTTAGTTATAGAGTATCGAATTTATCTACCATTACACCCTTCTAGTAAGGTGAGATCAACGCCTCTTGAACACTATGTGGTTAGGCTAGTTAGGAGAGAGAGAGAGAGGTTAAGTCTTTGTGTTTCAGAAGGTCGACAAAAGGGTATCGTGGTTTATGAATTCCATCTTTTTCCCTAATGATCATGGGATGAACATTTGTTTGAGCTAGTATTTTAGAATGGCCTGAGACTTGATTATCCAATTGACTTGCAAAATTTTTTGATATGAAGCCATGAGATGTTGATTAATTAGATGAAGATAGCATTATTGGGCTATGTGATAGATTTAGTCTATGCACTAGACTTGGGCTGTGCAACGAACCAGTGGCCATGACTAATTCATCTCGTAAATCATCTCAAGGAACATTGACAATAGACTGGATCTTGGATGATGTGACAATAAAAGGAAGGAAGCAATTGTCTTCATTTAAAAGGGCCCATTTATTGAGAAAACCCATAGTATATGGAAATAAAGATGCATAAAAAACCATGTGTTTGGAGGTGTAAATTTGTTCTATTGCACTAAGACACTTGTAGCCTTTGAGTTGAGAAGTAGGCCTAAGATGTACACATCTTTGACTATGAAACTAAAACTTATTTGTACTGTAGGGTCTCAAACAAGAGTAGCAAGCACAACTAAATAGTTGAAGATTATTGTAGTATGCTTTAATCTTCTAAAGTTGAAATAGAGGAGTGGAGTCATCTAGTACAAGTAAAGGTAAATGATTTATTAGATAAACTATGACTTGAAATACATCAGTCCAATCGGTAAGTGGACGATGAGCCTGGGCCAAAAGAGTTAAGCCCACTTCAATTACATGCCTATGTTTGCGTTTTGCTCTTCCATTTTGTGGTGAAGTATAAAGACATGTATATCTCATCTCTATACTAGTAGCTTGAGCAATAGGAATGAAATGCTTGTGATCAGCACCATTGTCACACTGAAGGGCCTTTATTTTAGTGTTAAATTGATTTTTAACCTATGCCCTGAACAAATCATCCCTGGGATACATTCCCTGGCTCGTAGTCCCTTAAACCAAAGGCTGTCCTCTTCTCTTATCCTTCATAGTGCAAGAATCATCAGAGAAATTAACATCAACAATATTATTCATAACAAGCTCATGCACACTCATTAAGTTTTTAGCAACAGCATACACAACTAAAACATCCTTAAGATGTAAAGTAGAAGTAGAAGTAGAGAATCTAGTAGAACCAATACCAATAATAGGGATTCTTTCCCTAGTACAAGTATAGATATTAGTCTTACCTAGTGGGACAAAAGTATCCAACTGATCAGCATTTACGGTAACATGATATGTGCCACCGCTGTCCATATACCAGGACAGATCAACAATAGTCTGAGGAGAAGCATAGTATGCTTGAGGAGGTGCTTCTCCATAGCTTTCTAGGTTCCTACTATAATCGAATGGAGGATAATGTTGATAACACTGAGCAGCAACATATCCAAAACGATTGCATTAGTGACGGTAGGAGTGTGAATCATTGTTATACTGACCATCATGATATCCCCTATTATTGTAACCTTTATGACACCCTCTAGAGTAGTGACTACAGCCACGAAACCATACCAAATAGAACTTCAGCCAGGATCAGAAACACAAGTATCAGGGACATCATGAGTGGCGACATTAGCTGTGGGTTAAATAGAGAGAATGGCAAAATGATTAAGTTGCTCAAGTTGATTTAAAAAAGCAAGAAGATCAGATTGAACACTAACCTAAGTAAGATCTGGTTGATCGATGAGTTTGACAACCATTGCATTATACTCACCATCAAGATTGTTCAAAGTATGAAGGATGAGATCCTCTATTGCAATAGGGGCTCTAGCCAGTTGGAGCTAATTTGCAAGATTCTTTATCTTCCCCAAGAACTCAGTTATTTTCAGGGCATTTTCCTAGTATCATGGAGTTCTGTCTTAAACACCATGATTCACGACTTTAGAGATGATTAGGTAAGTGCACACACACCATTCTAGAGATCACGAGTAGTTTTGTAGTGGAGGAGTTGGGCACTAACATTAGTCGTCATTGTGTTTCAGAGCCACTCAACGAGCATCTAATTAGCTATGAACCACGCTTCATAAGTAGGATTGGGAACATATTTCCCATCTTTAAAACAGTGCGAGGAGCTCACAAGTCAGTACAAATAACATGATTTTCAAGCTAATTTTCTTCAATTAAGGGGAGAATTATAAACTCCCAAATGAGATAGTTCTATCTATCCAATTTGACAGAGGAAGTTTGACTGGGGGAATGGGTTATTGAATTGGAAGATGTAGTGGATGAGGATGTCGACATGATGGAAAGGGCTTTAATACCAAGAAAGAAAACAGTAAAAATATTGGGAATATTTTAGGGTATCCAAAAAGGAGACCCTACTATTACTATATATATAGAAACCCAATATGGGTAAAATAATAATACAATCTAGATGCTACACATATACAATAGATATAATACAAGGAGAAGTAAATAAATATAAATTAGTCATTTGCTCTAACATTAATGACATAAGATTATAAGTTGCATGGAAATATAAATACAAGATGGTAGCACATTGTCAAATCAAGTTTAAAAACCCAATGTTGTAGTGCATGACAATCAAATTAAGAAAATAAAATTTGCTTCCATCTCAAACCAAAAAGCAGGAAAGAAACACACAAGGCAACTTCAAAGATCCAACCTCTAGTAACAGTAGCAACAATATAGTACTTTAATAATTCATCCCAGTCAAATGTAGTATAAAATCAATGAAAGGTTGTCAATCATAAGCTTAAATCAGGAAGAAATCCACCAAATATCCCTTGATCAAATTCATAGCCTCTGTGTGTGTTTGTATGTGGGCAAGCATTAATATTTATCACCTTTCAAATTCTACAAGTACAAATAAAAGATAAAAACAACAACAACAATAAAAGTAATAGAAAACAAGAAGAGAATTTTTATCTTTAACAGCTAAACAAAGTATAAAAAAATATTACATGATAAGCATATCTCAAAGGGCACTAATCAAGCATGTGCTAATAATTAATAACATAGAAAAGGAATCAAATCATCAGAGAGTTCAGAGAAACTATAAGATACAATAAATAGCACAAACAATCTAGTGTAAGATCAAAATTCCTTTTTCTTTTTCTCTAAAAATAATAAAAAAAACAATAATCTACTTAAACAAAAATAAAACACGTTTTATTAATAGGGAATTTAAGAGAGCATGAGGAGCAAGATGCCTAAATAATAGTTTGTTGCTACTTTGAAAATTTTCTTGATAGTTTCTGGAGAGAAGTCCCAAGGTTGCAAACAGATGGGTTTCTTCATCTTAACAATATGTGGGGGAACATAGACAACATATCTACAAAAATCGCAAGCAATTATTGATAGGAAAGACCCAGCCTATCTTATTTAAAGTTGTAAACTTACTAAACAATCTACCATTTACCACAAAAATGAAAATTTAATTTCAAAGTACCACTCTTCTTTGCATGAAAGCCTTCCTCTTTTCTTGTATTTTATTTCCCACATTTTGTATTTTAGCTTTTTGTCTTCCCTTTACAGAAGAAACAACCATCAATATCTATAACAATTACAAATAGCAATTCATAAGATAGTATGAGTGCAGGACCAAAAACAAAGCATAAAATTTATGGGTATGATACCTTACAGCATTACCATGTTTTCTCAATGGTACATGTGGTATAAAATTCAAAGAAAATTCCATTATTTATTCGAGATTCCATTTAAAACCAAACTCCATAATAGTATTATCTATAAATACAAGTCAACACCAAAACAATAAAGTAAAAAAGTTGGGGTCACTAAAGAGGAATGAATGTAATAAAGGATAATGTGAGTAAGTTACAGATAATGTAGGTAGTGAAGCTTCAAAACATTAGGTGTTTAAGCATAGCTGATATCACATCCTGCAAAATTTAACCTTGATAATGGGTATGAAAAATTAAGTCAAGGGCCAATATGAAAAGTAGACTGGCTGACGAAGCTAGACATAACATAAAATCCAGAAAGAGTCTAGACTGATATTTTTGAAATTATCGGTCCAGGAAGGGCAAAATGGAAAACTTTGAGAAAAAATTCTAAAAAGTTTCCAAAAAATAAAAAAATTGGTAGATTAGGGGTTTTGGAACCCTATTTGAGGCTTTGGAGGTAGAAATAACATGAAAATAACTTATTACAAAATTTCTTGAAAACAGAGGTTTTTTGAAAAAAAAATAGTGCAAATTGAGCAAAAATAATTCTTTTAAATATGTAAAGGCCTCAATAATTCCTGAAAAAATATGAAAAATTATTTATTTGAGTTTATAAAATTATTTCCAAGACCTCGAAGTTTGTCACACCTTTCTTTTAAACCTTATTTTATCTCATTTGGAACCATTTAGGATCATTTCTTATGGCTTTAAGTTAGATAAATTTTAACTTTAAATTTTCTTAAATTTAGGCTATTATTCATTATAATGCTTATAAAGACCAAATTTTGAAAATTTATAACTAATTCTAAAAAAATTGAAATGAAATGGTTCCAAGTTCTATGGAAAACTCTTGATATGCTCTTTAAAGAAAAAAATACTCGTTGGCATCCAAAACCCATCTGTCAATCCCAGATTTAGCTTAAAATGGCATTATTCATTTGGTCATTTTTTAATTTTTCAGGATTTATGCCCAACTTTGGAAGGGTAGAACTTTTTATACAAAACTCCAAATTCAATGTTCTACCACTTGTTTTAAAGATAAAAATATGATCTATAAACCTACAAATTTCTACTCAAAATTCAACCAATTGTATAAAATTTTATTGGTCAAATTTGGACCTTAAAAAGTCAATTTTTGTCCATTTTTCATGCACTTCTTGGTTTCTCTTTTCTTTCCCATCCGTATGATCTTTCGAATCACACCTCATATGCTTAAACATGATTCCTTGATCATTACTCATATGTAAAGCATTCTTAATCATTAATATACCATTCCAACATAGTTCATAGATATACGTAACTATACATAATAATGTGTAATAATTACAAAACATAACTTCAATAACATTAAGCTCAATCATTCTCCAAAGTGAATCTCTTTCCTTTCTCCTTGCTTGATCCAACCCCTAGTTGGTGAATATTGGAATATAAAGGATGAGATTTTATAGAAATCTCAATAGCAATGAACCATAACTATCATGTTAATCAAACTTTGCATAATGTATTATGTTACAATACTTCAATGCATTATGTCATGAGAGAAAACAAGCACAGAATCATATTAGCATATCATTATGCATTTGGCCAAAGCACATCAAGCATCACATAGTAAACCATTATCATAACATAATTCAACCAACACAAAGCAAGCAACATAAACACATTAAGCAAGCAAGAAAAACAATCAAATTATAGATTCAATGATACTTCTTATGCTTAAACCAATTTGTTCTTCTCAAGGGTTTAAGGTTCTTATTTATTCTTCTCCACAAAACCTATCAATTCAAGTATAATTACAAGCCACATTAACAACCATTCAAGCTTGAACACAAACACTTAACCTTAAACCTACTTAAATCCCCCTTTTCTTTAATTTTTGACATAATTATTTTTCTTTTAATTCCAACAATCTCTTAGTTTATTCCTACATAATTTTTCATGTAAAATTCAAATATCAAATCAGATTTTATAAAATCACACTCCTTCTCTTCCATTTTTTCTTGGCCGAATAGGGCTAGTATAACTTTCAAAAATTCTATTTTTTATTCTAGTAATTTTAAACAATTTTCCTTAGTGTTTCCCTACACAAAAACACTTTTTAAAATCATTGGAATCATCAAATCACAACAAAACAAACTCCTACTGTAGGAACTCCTCTTGGCCGAATTGAACCATTAATGACCCTAAGTTGGTTTTCTTCCAAAAATCAATCCAAACACTATTTAAACATGATAATTTCAACTCATTTTTTAAGGCCTCTATCTTTCCCTAATGCATACTCATTCTAACCAAAAATGGGCAACGCTTTCACCTTGGATTATAATTCAAATTTCTAACCAAAACAAGCTTTAATCTTAACTAAAGTAAAGCTCAAACTTACCCTGATGAATCCTTGATCAAAGCTTGGTATTTCTCCCTCCAAAGGCACTTACTAAGACTCACTTTCAGGTTCAAGAAATTAGTTTGGCAGCACCTCCCCACTTTTGTCAATTTTTGGCTATTTGAGTGTAATTATGGGGTATTTATAGAGCACAAAATCTGACCCCTCCCCCTCCATTTTGGTGTGATATTTGGCCACCTAAGAGGCCACTTGATTGCCATCAAATGCACCATAGTTTCTGATCAAGCCATGTGTACAAATTCTAAGAATATTCCATTGATATTTTAGGGTTAATTGGATTTAAATCCATTTTAAATGTGAGGCCGGGTTTTTGCATGAATTTTATGGGATTTTCTTTGCCCAAATGGAAGCCCAATCTGATCTGAAAAGTCCCAAGAAGATGGCCTAACAATAAAATATTAATTCTAAGTAATATTAAAGTTTATCGGTTACTATCCACTTGTAACTTTTTGTAATTATTCTAGGCCTTGAAAATCATATTTATCTCCATGAAAAATTCAATTTTAATATAAGAATATATTCTGGAAAATTTTAAAATTTTTCTCCACCTCTAATTATTTATTTTGAATTTCTCCCAAATAGGGCTTTATTAGCAAGACTTTTGAAAATAAATTTTCTAAAATTAATTCCTATACTTTCAGGGCTTGAAATCAATTTTACAAATTCAATCAAATATTTAAATAATTATTTCATATTTTTTCAGAATTATTGAGGCTCTACATATTTAAAATAATTATTTTTCACGAAAAACCTCTGTTTTCAAGAAATTCTATAATAAGCCATTTTCATACTATTTTCACCTTTGGGGCCCCAATTGAGGTTCCAAAACCTTTAATTTCTATTTTTACTATTTTTTTGAAATTTTTTTGAAATTGTTTCATTTTGCCCCTCCTGGATTGATAGTTTAAAAAATATCAGTCCGGACCCTATTCGGATTTTATGTCATGCCTGGCATTGTCAGGTAGTCTACCTTCCAAATTAGCCCTTGAATTGATTTTTCATATCCATTGTCTAGGTCAATTTTTACAGGATGTGACAAAGTACAAGAATTAATTTTAGAATATCTATTAACAAAATCTTATCAGTAAAGCGTGATTTCAAAGAAAAAAAAAAAAGTTAGAGGTTGAGATAAATTTCAAAATTTTTAGGGGGATTTTCCATATTAAAAGGGAATTTTTTATGGAGAGAAATGAATTTTTGGAGGCTCAGAACTATTTTTAAAAATAGTAACCAAAATAGTAAGTTTTGGTCAAAAATTGATATTTGTATTTGAGCCACATTTCCTCTTCTTTTCTAATCAATTTTGGGGTTCATTTTGGGCCAAGAAAGCCCAGGAATTTTGTGCAGCCATGGTCCATTGTGTAAAGAGAGATTAAGCCCAATTTAAGCCCAAAATCCAAAAGAAAAATCAAGAAGGGACACTTTCCATGAGCTAAAATTTGGAGGCTATGAAGAGGGATACATGTCCCCTTTTGTGGCAGAAAATGGTGCCTTTTTGGAGGGCTTATGGTTAGATCTTGAGCTCTATAAATGCCCCCTTAAATACATGAAATTCAGCCAAAAATAGGAAAAAGAGGAGAAATTCTGTCCAACCAAAATCTCACCCTTAAACAGCACCTAAAACCTTCCAAATCAAGGAAAAATCATCAAGCTTCAAGCAAGGATCCATTAAGGTATGTGTAAGCTTGATTTTGGTTAGATTTAAGGGTTAGTTTGGTTGAAATTTCATGACAAAACCTGAACCCTATGCTTTGATTTTTTGGTTAGTTCAAGAATGGATTAGAAAAGGATAGAAACCATGAATATGAGCTTGGAACTGCATGTTTAATTGATATTTGGATTAAATTTTGGAAGAAAACCAAAGTTAGGGTTTTACATACCCTATTAAGCCACTATGGAATTTTGAGGTTAGAGATTATTTCAATGTGATTTGATAATTCCAATGAGTTTAAAAGTGTTTTTGTATAAGAAAACACCAAGGAAAAGTATTTAAAATCATGAAAATAAAAAATAAAAATTTTGAAACCTAAAGTCACCCTATTCGGCCAAATCAGTTTGAAACGGAAGGGGTGTGACTTTGTTAAATCTGATGTAATATTTGGACTCTACATGAAAAATTGTGTAGGAATGGCCCAAGAGATTAATTTAATTATGTCAAAAATAAGAAAAAAGGGGTTTAATTGAGTTAAATGTTGAGCATTAGTGTTTATGCTTAGATTATTAGTAATTTGGAATGTGTTTATGCTTGGATTGACAGGCATTGTGTAAGAAATCAAAGAGGAGCAAAAATTTTCCAAAGAGGCTGAATTGAGTAATTAATCAAGAGGTAACATTGAACTCATAATTTGAATGCATTCTTGCTTGTTTAAATATATAGGTGTCATTTGATTTATGTTGCCATGATGTGATTCAGCAAACTATGTGATTGTGTATGGAATTCTATGTTGAATATGCCTTAGCAATATGTTATGAGGAATGGTATAATGGCTTGATTGATTACTCTCTTTAAAACACTACCAGAAAAAAGGCTTTTCACGGCGGTTAAAAGTGGCTTTTCACGGCGGTTTTGAAGGCGAAGTTGATAAAGGCGACGTTGAAAGGTAAAGAAAACACGGCGGTTTTGAACCGCCGTGGAAAATCGATTTTCCACGGCGGTTAAGATAGTAAACCGCCGTGGAATATGCTTTGAACGGCGGTTATACATATAACCGCCGTTAAAAATAATTTTTTTTTAAATTCTGCTTGTTTTTCATTTTTACCACCCTGCAATTTATAGTTCCAAATAAATGTAGGCAGTGCAGATCACGCAGAACAAGATCAATTTAGCTAGTTGATATATATACAGCATTGAAATTTGTTTTACACAATTCGCAAATAGGGAACCGGCCAATATAATAGAACTAGGTGGTTAATTAAGACCAAGGAACACGTATTGGCTAGGTCCAACAATTCTGAAATAGAAGTAACTACTTCTCTGTACAATGGAAATCATGAACATGTACATATAAGAGGGAACTAAGAGAAAACATCTAACAATGAATTTTTTGAGAAATAATCTATCTATTTGAAAGCTAAATTTCAATTTTTTCTACCAATGTTGTTGATAAAGTGTCCCTCATCAAGTTGATGTCATCCATGAGATATGGCGTAGTATTTTGAAATATCTGTTAATCAAAAATAACATAGTAAACTTAGTCAAAAATATGAAATGAATTGAAGAACGTCATGCAACGTAACTCATCTTTACCTCATCTAATTTCTCAGTCGTTCCTGTCTCAATTATGTCATTCATGTAGCGAATGACATAATATCCACACTTAACATGTCCTTGTTGACAACGGTACTAAAAAAATAAGATATAAAATTTAAATATTAGACATTATTGATTATAAACATTAACTTTAATTCATCCAAAAATGTTTAAAAGTTAGTTCAAAACAACATATACCTTTGGAAGAATCCATGTTGGTGCTTGTCTATTTTGTTTAATCGCCACAACATTAAAAGAATGAAAAGCCCTATCAACATTATACGAGAAAATGATATTAGAGCATGCTTGTATAAACTTCACAAGTAATAAATATATAAATAAAAACTAACGTGTTGATGACATCTTTAGTTTCTTCGGATGGACTTCCACAGAGTGAATCGAACCAGTAAACTTTGTTGTCAAAAGGGGCACAAACAATTAGAGTCCAATGATAACTGCAAAAGGCAAACCATGTTAATTATAACCCGACACATACAGCTTGTATATCTCAAATACAATAATACACTTACCCTTCCACGTAAGGTGCAAAATATATTAGCTTTCTGGTCTGAGTCATTGTGGTCATAATGTAGATTGACCTTGCTTCCACAGTATTAAATTCTTTCTGCACCCTTTGAGGACACATAAAGCCATATGTTCCTTGAAGTCCTCCGTTTCGACAGATTTGATTAAAGTGCCGTTGTTCAAGTAAAAAACATTAGGATATGCATGAAGTATAATATGTAATAAGAAAATGATATTGTAACTTACAAAATAGTGAGCTGCATGAAAGCTATATCAAGCTCCTCAAAGTTGAGGAACTGAATGAGGTCTTTCTTGTCAATGGTGAAGTCGTATGTTATAGCTGAACCCACAACCCCCAACGGCATCTTGAAAGTCACAGGCTTATCCATGTTTGGCACTATGGAATGAAGAACCTCTAAACTGGAATACATAAGCACAACATCACTAGGAAGAGGCAAGAGTACAGGATCAGATGATGTGCTCGTTGTGGCCTTCTTTGCTGCCGCCTTCTTCACCATTGGCTTTGCAATAAGTCTCTTTGGCCACAAAATGAAATGTCCTTTAGCTTTGGGCCAAGAGTCGAACCTCATCAGTAGGATTGGGCACTGGTGTACCCCCCTGACCACGAATAATCCTCTCCACTGTCACCCTTGCTTGATTGCTCGGAATTTTGTTGCCGTGAATCGTTGTGCCCATGAATGCTCGACCACTAGCAACATGAATAGGTGAATTTTCATAATCCACATAAAGAGAACACGGCATCCCATTGTCTTCGACAGGGTCAGGGCTAGGGTCAGGGTCAGACACTGTCAGTGGCTGTGTCTGATTATTACTGCGCTTCCCGCTTTTTATCACAGGTGAACCCTGAAACATAATATGAAATTAGTTAAGAAACATTAAATAAGTTTAAATGGATCAAATGAATCTTTAGAAGATTTAAAAAGATGTGTGATTATTATCTGGGAAGGTTCAGATACTCGGGGCATCTGGAATCCACTCGTACCCATCATCATCAGAGTCTGTTGAAACTTGGCATCGAATTCGTCACGTATCTTTTGCATCTCTGCCATGTGTTGTTGACTTAGTTCAGCTCGAACTCTCTCTGTTTCTTCCTGTAGTCGTTGGTCGAGCTCCTCTTTAGATACCATGTTAGCAGAGGATGATCTAGTGCTTCTTCGTGAAGCAGAGCCAAAAAATTCTTTAATACTAATCCCTTTAAGGGTCCCTCGGACTCTTCCGGGATGGTCAGCCTTTCCAATAGCAGTGGCCAAGATATCCATCCATCCTTGAGGAATGAATGTACCTTGAGATAATTGCTCCTCAAGTGTATCCTATATCATTAAAGCAACAAATTCAATTTAAGATAATTGAAAAAAACAATTAATGAAGCATAATTCTCAAATATTACTTACAATCCTCTCAGCAACAACAGCAGACTGTGGAGTAATGTATTGACCCTTTTTAATCCTCACCGCCTTCCATTTTTCTTGGCAAGAAGGACGCTCAATAGGTGGCATGTAGCCAGTAGGATCTGAAGCAGCAGCCATCTGTGCATTCTTCAGTCGTTCCTCCATCATACTTCTTTCCAACCCACCATACCCTGCACGAGACATGGTATGTGGGTATACATTATGCTCAGATATTTGTTTGTTCTTCTGACTCAATGCCTATGACAATGAAACCAAATCGACAAAATTAGTTTAGTTAAATAAAATATGACCTGATTAAAAATTATGTTTGAAGAAACCAAACCTGAAATGCAGGGTCTTCACGTTGCTTCACAAAATTCTCCCATGCCTCTTCACTAATAAATGAATATCGTTGCTTAGGATGCTCACCCTTTCTTTTTCCATTAATATAATGTTTTGTAAGCGTGGACTTAAAATCCCTCCACCGTTCAGCAATTTGCTTCAACAGACGGTCTCTCATTTGTTTAGTGGCAGGAATATCAAATGTCAGCTGCATGCAATACTATAATAGCATAGAGTTATAAAGTAAATAAGCAACTATAATTGAAACAAGTAGAGAAAACAATGCACAATATACCAATATATCCTCCCAAAGGTTTTTCTTTAAATCTTTGTCCACCTTCTTCCAGCTAGGAATGTCAATGCTAATCTTACTGCGTGCGAGATAACCCACATAACTAGTAAATTGAGCCCCATCCTTTCCTATAGGCTTCAGATCATCATCAAACTCCACTGTAATTCTCATAGGCTGTGTGCTCTCATCATGTAAAGCTAAATGCCTCATATGGATTGGCCCTCTACCCTTTCTCCGGCTAGTAAAAGAGTTGTCATCACCAGAACCCTGTTGACCGGATCCATCCATTTCCTGTTTAAAGAACAATGAATTAATAAATGTAAGAATAAAAAATATCAAGTTAATATAAAACATTATATTATTAAGTATATTTAGCAAAAAAAAATATCAAAAAATTCATTTGAGGCTTACAACGATTATCCTCCCAAATTCCTTCACAATGATCATCTCTAACAGCATAGTCATCATCTACCAAATCTAATTCAACTGCTTTAGGTCGAGTAGTTGTGAAAGGCGGGGTTTCATCAAGATTAAGCTCTAAGTCACCATCATCTCCACCAACTCCTTACCTTTTACCTTGAAGCACGATAGACAATTTCTTTTTTGCTAGATCGGGAACGAAGAACACTTGTTTTGCTTGACTTGCCAAAATAAATGGCTCGTCTCCGTATCCAAACCTCTCAAGATCGATCGAAACAAATCCAAATTCTTCATCCACTTGCACAGCATTACTATTAACCCACTTACATTTGAAGACGGGAACTTTAAACTTGGTATAACTAACCTCCCATATCTCTTATATTATTTCATAATAGGACATTGCCGCCAACATTGGGTTTCTGTCTTTAGAACTAGCAAAATGCATGGCTTTCGCTACTACCATCACCCCACTATTCTGCATAGTACTCTTATCGTCTTGGGTTTTTGTGTAAAAAGAATAACCATTTATATCATATCCACCCCAACACAAAACCTCAAAAGAAGGCCCTGCAGCTAGCCTCTGTATTGTCTCAGAAGGATTGCCATCTTTTAACACTTCTCGCTTGAACCACTCTGCAAATGACTTATTATGTTCATTAGCTAGTTGCATATCACTCTTTCTTGGATTCAAGTTCCTCAGCATATTCTTGTGAGCATTTAAGTAAGCAAAACTTCATCCGTGTTGTTTAAAATGTATAGATGTGCCTGCATTACAACTTCTCTTGACATAGACCTCACTATGACACCCCGTGTTCCCTTGCTTCTTCTCCCCTGATCATGTCGAGATTGAGGAAGACCAACTGCCTTTATCCTATCAAGATATGCGTTACAAAACTCAACTGCCTCCTCAGCTACATATCTCTCAACAATTGATGCCTCAGGCCGATAAGGATTCTTAGAGTACCCTTTTAGGATTTTCATGTATCTCTCAAAAGGGTACATCCATCTTAAACACACAGGGCCACAAAGTCTTATCTCTCGTACAAGATGAGCTATCAAGTGGACCATAATATCAAAAAATGATGGAGGAAAATGCATTTCCAATTGAGAGAGGATCACATAACCTTCATTTTCTAATTCATCCAACTCAGCAGGATCAATGACTTTGCTGCAAATGGCACTAAAAAACATACAAAGTCTTGTAATAGTATTTCTCACATCGGTTTTCATAATGCCTCGAATAGCAAGTGGAAGTAATTGTTGCATCAACACATGACAATCATGAGACTTCATTCCCGTTATCTTCAAATCTTGCATTGAAACAAGTTTGCTTAAATTAGAAGAATAACCTTGTGGCACCTTAATACTATTGACAAAACCACAGAAACTTCTTTTCTCTTCTTTTGATAATGTGTGCGCAGCTGGATGTAAATAAGCCTTCTTACCATCTCTTTCTTGTGGGAAGGACATTTCTTATTCCAATTTCGACTAAGTCTCGTCTTGTATTGATTCCATCTTTAGTCTTTTCACTTATATGCAAAAGTGTACCAACAAGCTCTCACATACATTCTTCTCCACATGCATCACATCAAGACTATGCCTCACATCAAGACTTTGCCAATATGGAAGATCAAAAAAGACAGATCTTTTTTTCCATATATTTCTCTCACCGACAGTCTTCTTCTTCTTCTTACCGAAGACCACATTAATTCCCTCCACCCGCTGATAAACTTCTTCTCCAGTTAATGGTCTTGGAGCCATTTCATATTCTTGTGAGCCATTAAATGCCTTTTTCAATCTACGGTAAGGGTGATACCGACTAAGAAACCTTCTGTGACCAAGGTATACTGTCTTCCTACCATGTTTAAGTTGCATATAGTGGGTGCCTTCTTCGCATATCGGGCATGCTTTATGCCCCTTAACACTGTATCCTGACAAATTTTCATATGCTGGAAAGTCATTTATCATGGTGAAGATCATGGCACGTAAATTGAAGGTCTCTTGTTTATATGCATCAAACACATCAACACCTTCCTCCCATAATTTCTTCAGATCATCAATCAAAGGTGCCAAATACACATCGATATCGTTTCCCGGTTGTTTTGGCCCCGAGATCATCAAAGATAGCATGATATACTTTCTTTTCATACATAACCAAGGAGGCAAGTTGTAAATTACGAGGAGCACTGGCCAAGCACTGTGTGTGCTACTAAGATTACCATACGGGTTAATTCCATCCGTACAAAGCCCTAACCGAAGGTTTCTTGGCTCGCCACCAAATTGAGGAAATTTTTGATCTATTGTTTTCCATTGAGGAGAATCTGCTGGGTGACGAAGCTTTCCATCACATATTTTCTCATCGAAATGCCATCTCAAGTTCTTTGCATCTGTGGCATTAGCAAATAGACGCTTAAATCGTGGTATTATTGGAAGATACCACAGAACCTTTGAAGGAGAACCTTTGGTCATCTCATTATAATCACCATCATCTTTCTTTATTTTGTATCTTGAAGTCCCACATTTAGGGCACTTATTCAACCCTTCATAATCATTTCTGAATAATATGCAGTCATTAGGACACGCATGTATCTTCTCATATTCCAAACCCATCGGACACAAAATCTTTTTTGCCTCATACATTCGTTTCGGAAGTGAATTCCCTTTGGGAAGAATATCACTCAGCAATTCAAGCAATTCTGTAAAACTAGCATCGGTCCAACCATTTCTTGCCTTCAAATTCATTAGTTTCAATACGGTTGTCAATCTTGTGTAATCATCTTTGCACCCCGGGTATAAAGGTGTCTCTGCATCACTACACAAAGTTTCAAAGGTGGAAGAAAACTGTGTAGAGGATTCAGACCTTATATCACGAAACATATCCGAAATTCTATCACCAAAGTCTTCATTCACAACCTTCTCATTTGCAGACAGTGTAGTCTTTCTAATTTCTCCATGCCATATCCAATTTGTATACCTCAAATTTATCCCATCACAGATAAGATGCTCTTTTATCTCAGAAATACTCCGTCGACTATTGTTTAAACATTTGACACAAGGACAATAGTACAATCCATCTCTTTTACTAGGGGCATTTCTCTGAGCAAACTCAAGAAACTTTTCAACCCCATCCTCATATTCCTTGCTAATTCTCTTAGCTTTCATCCAACTACGATCCATTGTTCTACAGATTATTTAAACACTTTACTATCAATCAAAATTCATAACGAAGAAAAAAAACACAAAATAACAAACAGATTATTTATTACTAAATTCTTATATTTATTACAAGAAAATTACCAAAAATTCGAAATAAATATCAAAAAATTATAAAAAAATTTAAAAACTTCACAACTAGTCAACTCCAAACATTTAAACATGTTTCTAATACAGTATATAAGAAGGAATTAAGCTTTTCTCATATCCAATACCCACCAATCAACACCAATTCACAGTTCAACCACATAAAAAATGCAAAATAAACAACACAAGCCAATCATAATGTAAAACTAATAAACCCATTTCATATATAACAGATTTTCATGGCCAAAATATTCAATAAAACAAGAAAAATTGAAAAGAATGAAAGAAGAGGATACTCACAGAGAGCAGAGAAGACTCAAACGCGAAGTGAGGGCTTCGAACGGCGGCGACGGCGGCGGACGCACCACAAGCTCAATGCAGGAGTTTCAACGGTGGGATAGTGTGGGGTATGACCGGTTTTCGGTGGTGGGACGGAGGGGACCGCGGCTGAGCAAGAATGAGGCGAAATGAGAGGCGTTCGAACGGCGGCGGACGGTGGCAAGGCACCACAAGCTCAATAGAGGAGTT